ACTGGGGTGGGTTTGTCTGACCACGTCTGTCCGTCTCCCCCCCGGCAGCCCCGCCCGACGCTGACCCTGTCCCAGGCCCCCCAGGGCCCCCCGCGGGCCCCGAGCATCATCAAAGTGCCCAGCTCCATCACGCTGCCCGTGCAGACCCTGGTGTCCGGCCGCCCCTCCACCCCCACCCAGCCCTCCCCGCCCCCCACCAAGTACATTGTCATGTCCTCCGCCTCCGGCAGCAGCGCCTCCCAGCAGGTAGGGGGGGGACGGGACGGGACGTTTTCGCTACAGCGCAGTGGTCAGCCGCGGCCCTGTGCCACTCCTGCCTCAATTTCCCCGCTCCGCAGCCCGGCTCTGACCCCGCCGGGGGCTGGCATGCTCCTGCCCTTAGCCGGGGCGTTGGGGAGCCCCCTTCCCAGCCTGCACTGCCCCTCGGCCCCCACATCTTCCCCTCCGGATCCCCCTCTCGGAGCTGTCTGGGGTCCAGCCTACCAGGCTCAGCTGCCCTGGGAGGGGCCTGGGGGGCTCCCCCATACTGCCCTGGGGGGCAGGCTGGCATGAGGGGAGGGGGGGCTCCCCCATACTGCCCTGTTGGGAAGGCTGGCATGGGTGGAGGGGGGGGCTCCCCCATACTGCCCTGGGGGGCAGGCTGGCGTGGGGGGCTCCCCCATATTGCCCTGGGGGGCAGGCTGGCATGAGGGGAGGGGGGGCTCCCCCATATTGCCCTGGGGGGCAGGCTGGCATGAGGGGAGGGGGATTTCCCCCTTACTGCCCTGGGCGAGGGAGGTGGGGGGAGGGCATGCCCCCATGCTGCCCTGAGAGGGTCCTGGGGAGGGGGGGGGAGGGCTCCCCCATGCTGCCCTGGGTGGGTCCTGGGCGGCAGGCTGGCGTGGGGGGGGGTGTCTGTCCCCCCCAGCTGACCCCCGTGCCTGTCATTCACAGGTGATCACCTTCAGCAGCAGCCCCCTGGGCACGGCCAGCTCCCCCGTCAGCACCACAGCGGCCGGGGTGCAGCCCGTGGTGAAGCTGGTCTCCACGGCCCAGACGGCGCCCAGTGCCACGGTGACGGGCAGCCTGCAGAAGTACATCGTGGTCTCGCTGCCGCCCCCGGGCGAAGGGGGAAAAGCGGGGGGGGCCCCAGCTCTCCCCCTCGGCCCCGCCGGGCCTGGCGCTGCCCGGCCTGGCCCCTGCCGCCACCATCAAGCAGGAGCCTGGCGACAGCCCCCCAAGCCCCCCCCGGCACCCCCAGCCCCTTCGGCAAAGCCAACGGGGCGCAGGGGGGCGTGGCTGGGTCACCCCAGCCCTCCCAGTGACCCCAGCCACAGGGACACCCCCACCCCCACGGTGCCCCCCAGGGCTGGGGTCAGTGGTGTGTGTGTGTGTGTGTGTGTGTGTGTGTGTGTGTGGTGGGTCGGGGGG